GAAACATACATTTCAGTGGCCACACTTCAATAACACTATACAATAATAATATTAATCCAATCTTTTTTGGTAGTCAGTAATCAATAATTAGTAATAATTGGCTCAGTAAACAATCTTTCCTCTATGCACATCGCCATAGTAATAACTCCTTATAACTCTTAATTGTTGTATCATTGTATCACATGAATCAGTAGAGGATAACACTTAATCATAATATTTAAAGGAAAACTTATCGGCCCACCATTCTATATAGGTGAATCAATCTTAAATTAATGAATCAACAAGTCTTTATTTCTTTTACACATATTATAATAAAAGCAATAGCGGTTAGCTATTACCCAATCATATATACATTTTCATTCTCAATGGTTATATTAATACTATGCTTAATTTAAAATATCCAATTTCTATACACTACAAATCATACAAAATTCAATAACTTCTATTTTACTTGGTGAAATTTAAAAATATTACAGTTAAAATCTTTAAAATAAGCAATATGATCATATAAAAAGTTGTCCAAAAAGTTTAATAAAGCTAAAAAAACATAGTAAAATCAATTTTGAGGAGAAGTCATGGGTCAAAATCAAAATATTTAAAATATATATAGGATTAAAATCACCTACTTTGAACTGAATAACTTTTTAAAACACCGTAAAGCAATCCAAAGACCAAAAATCAATAATGCGCTTTAGGCCTAATGTCGTAGCACTCTAATTAAAATAGATATTCATTTTTTTTCAATTTTAATTATTTTCAGAAATTTGAATTATTACAACGACACTCTCGTGCATCCCTCAAACTTATGTCCCATTAATCCTATATTTAAAGAACAAACCACTTCTCTTTTTAGAGGGAGAACTGTTAATTAGCCATAACTTTTGAACCAAAACCTCTATTCTAAACCCCAAAATTAATCCTCCTCCCCCAACCAAATCTAACCCCTTCCCCTTTTAGCCAGTGATTCTGCTTAAAGATGATGTTAGGTCCACCACTTTCTTACCTCCTCCTCCCCCTCCTAGTCTGGGTAAAGCTATTATCCTTAACCTCAATTTCCTAACTAAGGAAGTATTTTCCTTAAAATAAGCTATATCTTCCTCCCACTTCTCATTTCCAATATTCCTTTAGACAACAAATTTGCAGCATGTGGACCTCCAAACCAAGCACCGCGCAGATGGGCCAATTGGGAGGGACAAATTGGATCGTGCATACGACTAACCATTGAGGATAGCGGCTCTCGCCAGCGCACCCCGATGGGTAGTAATATACAAGACCTGATCACAATCATGGTTTCCCCCATCCGATACAACAGTTTGAATGTGGTTTAGTAGATGTGGGGTCAAGTTTGCCACGGGCGCAAGCCTCCGTGGTTAATTACATCTCAGGTTGGAACTTGGGAAAACTCTTTATTAAAGATCATACATTATCCTTCCTGAAAATGGGATTGGCACGAGGGTATAGACTAAGAAGTCCTACTCAAAGGGAAGAAATGGACGAAGGGCTGAATCAACATACATGGTTCATACCAGCATTCGGAGGCTCTAGGGTACTAAAGAGAAACTAGATAAAAGAAAGTCAGACAATCAATCACATGTATGAGAGAAGGATGGAGGTGTTGTCATCCTGTGACATAGATAAGTAGAATTTACAGTCCTCAAAAGGAAGGGACCTACCTATTATTTAAGGCATACTATAAGACCGTATGTAGTAGCCTCAAATCCTATATCTGGATTGGGTATAGTGTTCTACGCAATACTAAGACCCGTGTCCTAGCTAATGCAGTGCAAAATTTGGGCTTACCCCAGCCTGGATTGGGGAGCCAGCTAACCACCTAATCACTTTAAAATCATGCTATCACGTCAATTATGAAATATGGGTGGGTGATACATTTATTGGAAATAGGACCGACATCTAGAGAGTTTTCTAATTGGTCATGGACTTATGTATGGTGAATGCCCCTAACTAATATAATTAAATTTTAATTAAATCAATTTTTAATGCAATATATGCTGGTTGAAAGGTCTAAATCAAATATGCATTGGATTTTAAAAAAAAATAGATTTATATAAAAATAATTTTTAGAAATGATTGGGTCTCCCTAGGTCCGGCACTTCATCCTCATAGGTCAGATTATCCAGACTCTACCCACTGGCAGGGAGATGTCTTATAAGAAGGAGAAGAAGAAATGCAATAATATGCATGCGACCCCGGACGATTCTGATAGTTCCCTAGATTCGTTAAGTTTTTATATTATTTAAACCTTAAAATTTTGTAAATTAGTTATGAGTAGAAAACATTTTATAATCCTTAAAAGAGCCTAACGCAATCCAGGCTAAAATAAAACCGGCATGTAAGAAAGAAACCTAAAAAAAGTAGGTAATTTTTACTGCGCAAACAGGTAAGCACATCAATATAAATTCAACAAATCAAATAAATGTCCATAGGCAAACTGCCCTTATTACAACCCAAATATGCAAAAAGTAAAGTGGCTAGGCACCACTGCCAATAACCCGAATTTCTAAACCTATGACAGACGCAAGACTTTGAGTGGGATATTGGTCTTCGATTCTTCAATCTTCTGGGTGTCCTCTTCTTCCTGGACACCTTAGAACTCTCCTCCTTGGACTCCTTGGATTTCTCTTCCTTGGACTACTTGGATTTCTTCTCCTTGGACTCCTTCGATTCGTCGTGACTTGAATATCCAAACAAAGAGATAATTCCCCCTGGTAGGGGGTATTGCCTTTTCTCTTTGGATATCTAAAGCCATCCAACTCGATCTACCAAATGGAATAAGACTCTCTCCTATGAGGATGCCTTCCTCTTTTGGAATTCGAGTTGGATAAGTATATCCCAACTCAAAGTTGCATTTTCACAACTCTTAACAAATGTTACAAATATTACATCAATTTAAAAATAGAAAATTCTAGACTCCCTACAAGGTTATCCTAATAAACATCCCAAGCAATTATAATATCTCAAGCAGTTATATAAAATAAAAATAACCCATTGAAGCTGTGCCAAGCCATGCTCTTAATTATGAGGACTAAGCAGTCCATCTGTAGCACCTGTAGTAGTTATAATTATTTTTATTTAGCCCTCATTTATTTAGGGGGGGCCCCCCCCTTTTAGCGTAGCATGAGCATGGTCACGTGCAAGAAGAATAATATATATATATATCATTCCTAACCTAGGGGTAGATCTAGCGCTCATTACATCATATCCAGAGCGCAGGAAAAATAAACAAACACACCAATCATTTTCAAACAGCATGCAATGAAATCATCGAAAAGCTCCGATACACAGCAGAAAAAGTAAACACTGGCCTAGCCTAGGTCTAGAAGTGGTGCCCTAGCAAACAATTCTATTTTTGTGTATGGTTTGTGTGGCTTGGATAGATCCTAATTTGGGTAGTTAATTAAAATTGCCTATAATTCAAGTTTGTTATAAGCTAGAAAAGAAAATTTTTATTAAAGTCAAAGTTTTAATGGATTGGGGTCCATTTCAATTAATTTAGTTTGTTGATCAGTTTCAAAAGCTTAGGATAATGATATTTGAAGTTAAAATTGCATTAGCCAATTTTGAAAAGTCCCTCGTCCTTCTAGGTGCTAGGCTAAGGGTTCCAAAAAGTTATTATGAAAAATAAGGTAGGTTTGGGACTCCTAACATTTTAGGAAAATATTAGACCTTAAGATGAGTAGTTATCCATATAGTACACTAAATTTGGAGTTTTCTAGGCAAAGTTATGAATTTTCTAAGTTTCGGGCCCTAGACTATAGGCTGGGGTTGACCATAAAGTTGACTTTCTAATTTAAGTGAGTTTCTAGAATCTTAATATTTTAAATAAATACTAGACCCTAATAGAAGTCTAATTCAAGTGAGTTTGCCTAATTTGGAATTTTCTATAATTCTTTATGAATTTTCTAAGTTCAGGGTATTTATGAAATTATCTAAAATATCTAATAAAGGGCTCATTTTATAGTTTTGATTAAAATCAGCTCCACATAGATTGGAATCACCCCCACAGATCAGAAATGACATAAAGAGATGTTCCCAAGTGTTTGGGGATAATTTAGGATTTTTAATAAATTTTAATGATTTATTAGGGGCAAAAAGGTAATTTCTACCTAAAGCCAAATTAATGGTGAACCTAAAGTCAAACTAAGGAGCCCTATTTATCTAAGGTTAAGGATCATATTTTGAACAATTCAAACTATGGTAGGTAATTTTCTGACTTGAAATGGATTTATTGTAATTTTCAGAAGGTCTCAGGGCCCTATTTAACAGATAAATTAGGGTTTGTTAATTAAGGGGTATAAAAGCTCCTAAAAATTCCTAGAAAATTTTGGAATATTTAAGATGTATCTAAGTTTAAGTGTTGTAGTTTTCTTGTCAATCTAGGATCTATCCTAACTTCTAAAACTTTTCTAAATTTGCTAGACGGGTCTTTAATTATTGTCCTTAGGGTGTCACTATGTTGCATAGGTTTAAAGTTAGGTTTGGAGCTAACCCTTGAAGGTAACAAATGCATGGAACACATAAAAATAGTAAACACACCATGTCCTTAGATCTAGGAGAGCATAAACTAAGTGCTCGTGGTGCATCCTACACATGCAAGCTACGACAAAGGAAAAGTAAGTACAACTAATGAAGGAATTAGTGGATGATTGGGACTCAATCATCCACTAATTCATTCCCCCATGATTGCTCTTCATGTGCAAAACCTATGCTTAAAATTTCATGGATAGTAGATCTCCCAAAAAAAATTAGTATTTAGTATATAAGTAATTTGAAAATAATTTAAAATACTTATGTAAATATATAGATTATGGAAAATAAAATAATTTTAAAATAAATCAGTTTATAGTAGATAAACATATGGGAGACACACTGACCACCAAATCGAGGTTTTGAAAAGGGTTTGAAAATAGTTTTTAATTTCAAAATAATTATGATAATAGAAGATTCAAATAATAGAAAAATATTCCAATAATAGTATTAGAAATAAGAGAGCTACCTCTTGCTTTCATTGAGAAGACAAAACAGACGTCTGACTGCATTATTTTCTACAGGTTTGTTATGTACTTATGTGATAATTTTTTAAGCTTCATACTATGTTTAAGGATGCACCATTAATAAATCAAGTTGCGATTATTAAATGCAGGGATGGTGTTAGCGAAGGCCAACTCAATGATGTTGTTTTGACAGAAATTGATGCTATTTGAAAGGTTATTTTCTCATTATGTAGTTCTCTGTGACGAAAATAAGTTTAGTGCACAGATTCACCAATACTTATGTTACACGTAGGTGTTTTCTATCTGCTATTGAGTTATTTTTTCGTCTAAACTTATTGCAATATTTTAGTTTTTTGAATAAATATGCTCGATGCACGCGCTCGGTATCATTAGGTAATTGTCGAAAGTTTATCTATATATATATATATATATATAATTTTTTATTTAAAATAATTTTAAATTAATGGGGCCGCGAATACGAGTTAAACGAGGTATTGTGCGTCAAAAATGGGTCTAAATGGATTTATGGATATTTTTTGGGTGAAAATCCACTTAAAATCTATTTAAAACAAATTTAAATTCCAAATTATGACCGGGTGACACGTGGCGGCCCGGGATTGGATCCCGGGACCGCGGCCAATGATTGCGCATCACCGCAATCATTGGTGCGTGATTACAGCGACAGTCACTCCTTAACCACGTCGGCATCCGCTGTCCACCGTCGGATCCGCGCGGTTCTGGATGGACGGACCAGATCGGATTCGGTGGCTGCCTTGACCGCGCGGTCAGACTCAAGTTGAGCGGTCCCCGTGGAACGAAGGATCAGGATCGCTGATCGTAGATCCAACGGCCCAGATTCGTTCTAGGCTTGCAGGGGCTCCATCCGATACCTAAAATGATGAATCGTCTCGTTCACAAGATTTACCCAACCAAATCGAATGAAACTTTAGGCATATGATCTACACATGAAGAGCATCATTGGGGGACAAATCTTGCTTCCTAAAACACGATATATGGGAAGTTATTTAGATCTAAGTGTGCTAAATTAGGGTTTAAGTTTTATCCTAATCCACACGGTGGATTCGGGAGATCTTGGGCTGGTTGCACTTGTAGACTGTCCATGAATCCTTCTCTAGTTGAGCTCGAGCTCCGATTTGTCCTGGATCTACCGGAATTTGCTCTAGAAGGGAGGTGGGGCTTGGTCTCACCGGGATCTCGTCGCCGGCGGCTCGAGGAGGTCGAGATTGAGTAGGAAAACGTGAAGGGAGGCTGTGGGAGTCTTCTCATAAAATCTCAGAGGATGGGGAAGTCTATCTAGAAAGCAAGAGCAAAAAAAGCCCTTTTTGAAACCTAATTTCACCTATTTAAATGTCTAAGCTCAAGATCAACGGTCTAGATCTAATCTAGGTTGAATTGGGAGGGAAATTAGAGGGAATTAGCCGTGGTTTTGATTTGAAATTCAAAGAGAATCAATAGGCATTGATTGGAGCAATGAATGGGCTCTAATTGGGCTTTAAATAGGTTAAATTAACCTATTAAAGGCTAGATTTGACCAAGTCAAAGTTTGACTTGGTCAAACCAGTCAATTAGGTCAGAGGAGTCAAGGGATTGGGCCATGAATGGGCTTGGATTTGATTTAGATTTAACCAGATTGACCCAAAGCCTAGTCCTGGGCTCAACCGACTCAGATTGACTCAATGAACCCATTGGAGAGGGTCTTGGGGTCTGACTTGGTCAATTTGACCAAGTCAACCTCTTTGACCAGGAGTCTGGGCAAAATCAAGGTCAGCACAGCATTCTAAATTGAGGATTAGCCCCTTGATTTTGCTCTTTAGGGCTTCCCTGCCACCTCCAAAGACCCTCCTCCAAAATAAGACCAACACCCCCTCCCCCTAAGAACATCAGAGCCATATTTGTTGAGAAGGCAACTCCCTCCATCTCAAAAACCCAATGACCCTCCCTCCCATTGCCAATTGGAATGTTAATAGCCCTAAGAAAGTCACCACTTGTGAAGATCTTATCAAGTTGCAATAAATCAAAATGTTATACATCCTTAAGGCCAAAATTCTAAATTCTTTGGTGTTGGATCCTTAGTTTTGTGAGTCTCACAAAGTTTTTGAGAATTAATCTAGTTATCATAATTTTTCCTCTTCTTCCCCTGGAAGAATATTGCTAAAATGGGATCCCTCCAACATCTCTTTTCCCCCTCCCTCTGCTCTCCTTAAATCATCCATAGGACCCCCTCTTCTGGTGTTTCTCCTCTTATTTTTCTATATATGATTTATGCTGCTAGATCTCCCAACGAGAGGAGAACTCTTTGGTAGCAGATTCAAACTCTAACTTTCACCTTTTCCTATCTCTGGCTAATTATTAGATACTTCAATTATTATAGATATGCTTCTAAGAAACCTAGTGGATATGTTTTACATTTTAGCAGGTTTGGTGAGCTTAACAACCTTATTTTCAATATTGGCATCCATGATGTTGCCTCTATTGGTCAATTTTACACATGGTTCAACCAAAGGGTCGACAACCCTACGCACATCAAGCTGGATAGAATTATGGTTAACTCTACCTAGCTTTACTATGTCTCAACTTTGTATTATATAATTGAACACCTCATTACTCTGACCACTCCCGTCTGTACTCTTTTCTTATACCAACATAACTAAAAGTTGCAAGTTTATGTATAAGAACTATTGGGTTTACATGAATGGTTTTTGTGAGACTATTATTTTAACTTTTTCTTCCTCTATTTACGGTATCCCGATTGCCACCTTATTTGCTAGGCTTCACAAGTTAAAATATTTGCTAAAAGGTCCTTATTGAATTATATCGATGAGTTAAGAAACAATCAACTTGGCTGCTTATTGGAGTTATAGAATAATCACCTTGAACACACCCTTAATTCCAACTTAAAGAATTGAATTGCCTTCTAGTCTCCTATCAATCTTCCTGGAACTCTTGGATGACCACATGTGCTGAGTCTAAATGGTTGTCAAATAGTGAAGATGATCTTGGCTTTTTGTATGCTAAATCAATTCCAGGCATAATGTCCACTCCATTAATAGGCTTACTACCTCTCTCAGGCACTTCACTACCCCTTAAGGGATTCCATTCAACACTTTAAGACCCTCTTTAATTCACCCAAACTATTTCACTCTAGCACTTTCAACATATATGATGGGAAAACTATTCCTCCTCAACTCTTAAACTCCTTGATCTCCCCTGTGAACAATAATGAAATTAAAGCAGTGGTATTTTTTCCCCTTCTTCCTTTGCTCCGAGTCTGGATGGCTTTAATTTTAAATTTTACAAAAGCACCAAGGATATTATTGGTTTTCAAGTTTATATTGTTGTTAAGAACTTTTTTCAGTCTAGACATCTTTCAAAAGGTGTCAAACAACCATCACTTTAATTTTTAAGTGTGTACATGCTACCAATATTATAGAGTACAAACCTATATCTCTATGTAATGTGTTCTACAATATCCTGGCTAAGCTTCTTGCTAACAGAATGAAACCCACTTTATCTTTGATTGTCCATGAAAGCCAAGATAGGTTCATTTATAAGAGATGTTCCTTTAATAATATTATGTTAGCTTTAAAACTTTTGGGAGAATTCAAGGCTGCTAACATAGATTATTTCTATGCAAAACTAGATATTAAAAAGGCATTTGATTTTATTTCTTAGGAATTCTTACTATCTATAATGGTGCATAAGGGCATCCCCGCCTAATTTATTAAATGGATTAAAGGTTGTATCAATAGGGTTCGCTTCTCTATTTGTAAAAATAGGGCTCTTGAGGGATACTTTAACACCTCCTCTGGGTTAAGACAAGGTTGTCCCCTCTCCCCCTACTCTTCAGTATTATTATGGATGCTTTTTCCTGCTTGATTGAAGCTCCCAAACCTTCCCTTCACTTTAATGGTATTGTGTCTTACATCCAAAATTATAACTACCTTCTCTACGCAGACGATTTACTTATTTTTGGCTCTACAACTACACAAAATGCTCATTCCTTTAACAGTACCAAGCTTTCTTTTGTCGCTACTTCTAAGATTTATATCAATCAAGCTAAACACTCTATTTTCTTCTCCCCTCACTGCTCTTCTACTTTTGATATATGCTCTAATCTTGGCTTTGCCCTTTCTAGTTTGACTTTAAGGTATTTGGGATTGCCTATTTCTTATACAAGGCTTTCCTCTACTAACGTTTAACCACAACTGAGTAAAATTTACACCCTACTTGATGGTTGAAAAGTTAATTTTTTGTCATTTGTGGGTAGAGTTCAGTTTTTAAAATTCACTATTTTCAATACTTTGTCTTATTTAATAAGAGGTGCTATCATTCCTAAGAATTGCTACAAAATTATTGATAGGATGTGCTATGTATTTATATTTCATGGTAATGTCAATTAAAGAAAGTTCACCTAATTGCTTGGATTAATACTTACCATCCCATGAAGTTTTGTGGTCCCTACTATTCAATCTTTATATCACAATTTTGGTTGTTCTCTTATTTAGAGGCTATTCTTTTATGAGTGGTTTAGAACAAAATATAATTCCCTATGAAAACATCCTCGATCCCATGCATAAAAAATTTGGAAATTTATCTCTAGTATTGCCTTGAAGATTAAAGATTTGATTTCCCTTATTGTTTCTTCTACTGATTGTAATATGCCCATGTTTTGAAACCCTTGGTGCAATCACAAAGCTCTAGCTGAGCTATTTGAGCCACCTAGAAGTTCACATTCCCATGTATAACCTTCATATTTAATGATTGTTGGGTCCTTTCAGACCTTTTCCCTGATACAGTCAAGCAACATATTTTATCTATCCCAATCCTAGATTATCCCTCCTACCCCATTTCTTGGGCAAGCTCTGAATCCCCCAAATTCACAAAAAAAAAAAAATGCATATGATTTTTCTAATTTGCAACATGTTTCTTGGGCTTACTACATCTAACATAAAACTATATTCTTAGATACTCCTCTTATGCTTGGATGGTTTCTCTTAATGGGTTAAAAACTATGGATGTGCTTATTAAAAGATCTATTGATATCTCTTCCACATGCTAACATTGCTTCAAATCAAATGAGTACATCTCCATCTATTTTTTGAATGTAACTTTTCTTTCTCTGTGATTTCTACCTTGCTGTTGTTTTTGGATAGTAGTTTACTTGGACCTTCTATGCATCAATTGTTTTATCATTATGCTAGCTTGCCTCAATTTAATAGGAAGGATAAGAATTTCTACTACTTCACTATTTGTTGTTCTTTCTATTTATTATGGAGAGAAAGGAACAATAGGCGCCTTGCTAGTAATTGGAGCTACTCTTCTTATGTTTGCAACAATATTAGAAAAGCCATCTCTTTTAAAGTGGCTAATTGGAAGTATTTTGCAAGACTAAAAGATGCTTTTCCCAATTACTTCTAAGTTCAACTTATGGGTTACTATTTTGGTTTTCTATGCTTCTTCCGGTCTAGTTTATTTCCCATGGATGATGATGAGTGGCGACCTACTCCAGGTAGTTGTCCCTTTGGAAGACCCTTGTGTTAAACCTCTTCCTGGAAGGCCCATGTGGCATCCTGGGGTGTTGCGTTTGCACTATTCTGATGGTTGGATGATCTGAATTTTCCTATTTTATGTTTGCTTACATGATTGATGGTAGTTGGCTTTTCACTCCCCTGAGTCCATGGTTCCTCTTTATGGTCTTCCTCTCTGATTTTATATCATTTTTATTATCTTTTGGTTTCCCTTACTATAGGTTTTTCTTATTAGTTTAGGCTTTTTTGGCTCTTGGTTGAGCTTTCATTTTGGCACAGCTCAGTTCACAGATGTTTCATCCTATAAGTTGTTTTTTTTTTAATTTTCATGGCATTGTAATTTTTTTTTTCATTAATAATATGAGCAATGACCTAAAGTTCCCCACATGCCAAAATTATAACCATAGAGAATGGCCCAAGAGAAGCATTCATCATAGTGTTGTAATTAGGGAAAAGATTGAATGGAAATCAGTATAAGAGAAAAGTAGCAGCTACATATTTCCAAAATTAAAAAAAAATGTTTGCTGAAATGGTGAAAGTTCTCAAAATAGCAAAAAGAAGATCTTGCAAATGCGAAAATTCCAAAAGGAACCAAAATGTGTGCATGAAAATTTAGCCACAGAACTAATCAATTAGCACAAGAGAGGTAGAGTATCTTCCATATGTTTTCAATTTTTAATCTTACAGTGGATAACATTTCTATTTTTAAAGCAGATAGAAGCATAACTAAGATCATCTCCAACCCAAACTCATTTTCCACTCCAAAATACACTAACAATTCAAAATACAGTAATTCAACTCTAATTGAGCTCTACTTTTTAATATCAAAAAATAATATTATGTATATATTATTTCTCAATCGAACTTCACGCGCTAGCCTTTCTCCACTTCCACTTCCATTGTTTCAGCAAAATAATGCGTGCGTGAACAGTTTGACGCTATATTGACATCCCACTGTTCACAAACGCAAAGAAGGGAAAGTGTTTTGCCATTGGATTGGGAGCTTTTATTTGGTCCAGGAACATACGTAGAGCTACGTTCGGTCAACACTAAGATCGCAGGCACAAAACGAGAAATATCGAGCAAATACCGAGCAATACCAACAATAACGAGAAATGCCATTATGTGAAGACAAAATACCGAGTAATACCTAGCAATACCAAGTAATCCCAGAAAATACCGAGTTTTTTCTATTTTTTTGGATTACTCGGTATTGCTCGATATTACTCGGTATTGATCTTCACAGAGCGGTATTCCTCATTATTACCAAACAATACATAGCAATACCGACCAAATACCGAGCAAAAACCGAGTAACAATCCTCTGATCGAACGTAGAGCTACGTCCGGTCAGAGGAGGTAATAAAAGTTCTTGGATTGGAGCATTTCGCAGACTCCAAATATGAATATGAAGCTCGGTTAAACATGACCTAAGCAAGGAATTGTCTACCAAATTAAACGTTGGAAGGCAGCCATCACGTGCATGCTAGGCGACCGACCAATCCATCATTCTATGCAGATCGGCTGATCGGACGGTGCAGGGGCTGCAGCTATTTGGCGCGAGCGCCACCAACGGATGCTCTCTCTCTCTCTCTCTCTCGCTCTCTCTCTCTCTCTCTCTCGCGCGCTCTCTCTCTCTTTAAATTTGACGTTCTTAGAAAGGCACCGCTGAGCTACTTCGCTTCACCCGTCACCTTCCTTTCTCCCACCTAATTCTATCGGTGAATAATATCCTCAAAAGAGGCGAACGGTTCCTCTCCTATTTCGCGGTCCAGATCTCACAGTTATTGGGCAAAAGGGGGACGAAAAAACCCTAACCGGGCTTCTTTTGGTATCCAATCGATAGCTTTTTTTTTTTTTTTCAGCTGATCGAACCTCTCTGGTCTGTTCGTTTCTATTTCTCAGCTATTACGGTTTCATCTTTCACTTTTATGCTTGTTGGCTTCCGTTTGGAGCTTGATATTTGCTGATTACGTTTGAGCGGATTTTTTATGTGAATCTTGGGTTTATGATTTGCTTTTTGAACTGACTGTTGTCCGTGGAGTTCTTTCTGTGAGGGGTAATATAGTCGGTTTTGTGACAGCTTGATGCTTTATGCTTGGCTTTTGCTGATGCTGCTTTTTGTTCATCTCATAGAGGGGCTTTGTGATTCTTGGTGTTTAATGTAGTTTTCCTCCTGATAGTTCAATGGGGCTTTAGCTGAATGGACTTGAATCGTGGCTTGCCTTAATTTTTCTTAAAATTGTTTAGGTGAATCTGAGGTTTTCTTAGCTTATGGAAGAAGGATATATAAGTAAGTTCGATTTGTTGGGTGTTCAAGCATTGAGCTAAATCATGATTTAAGGGAAGTAAAGAGTTCTGATCGCCATTCTCATCTTAAATTAGGTAGTGGTGATGGCGGATCAAAGGAGTAGTTCAGCCCCTAAATGTTGACACATGTTTATCCATTTTCAGTTAAGGGTATTATACATTGTTTATGATTGGTGTCATGATGATATTTTTCAAATTATGATTTTGTTCTTTCATCATCAACTTGTGATAAAAAGCTATTAGGCTATTTCATACAAAAAAACTTTAAAGCACTATGATTGAGAAGCATGTAGAAGTTAGGAGCAGAGAGCTACTCCTTCGACAGAATTATGTGAGAAGTTCATTTTTCTGGTTTAATTCAGGGAAAGCATACACTTAATACAAAGTGGTGCGAGAAGAAAGATCATTTCCATTATAAGAAAATGAGACTTATACACTAATTTCACTTGTTCTGTGCAGTGCCAGGTTTTGAATTTATAACTTCATTTTTTTTCCTTGGCTCAGAAGAAAATGGAAAAGGAGTTTACCTCAAATCGCTTTCAATCTTAAAAGTTTATGCAATATGTTGGAAAGCTGTACTGTGCTCCTGAAATCCAAGCAATATAATGACAATCTTTACAAATAGATGATTTTAAGAGGAGCGCGTAATTTTTGGAGCTGTAGTTTAAGTATCATTTGGCTGCTAGATCTCTGGAGCTGGATACATTATTATTGTCATTTTGTATCAGTTTACTTTAGTTGTTTTTAGGCTTGTTATTTGAACTACATTTAGTTTGAGCCCTATGGCTGAGATATGTAGGCAGGTGGATGGCCTTTTGATTATGCAAGGTTCAACCTTTTGTAATTTTTATTTTAATACGCAATGGAAATTACTTTTGAGGGAAAAAACAAAATTGAAACATATTAATGAGATATCTGAGTGCTGTTATGATAGATATGGTTAGCTATGTTGTACTTTTATGGGGATCTTGTTCAGTTAATTCTTACAAATTACAATCTGAATTCAAGCATTTCTCTATCATATAGAGATCCCTTAGCCATGTCTTTAACTGGGACAAAGTGATGTAAACCCATTTCTGAATCATATATTTGGCATGAAGATGAATAAAATGGGACAGTCCTCTGAAAGCCAAGATGGCTAACCTTGATATGCTTACAATCTATTACTAACTCTTTTGAAATTGCTCATCTTAGCTGTCTATAAGCAGTGGCGCTCTCAAAAGGGCTGCCTTATTGTGTTAAACACTGTTTTGGGTACTAGGACTTATTTTTGTGGACATTGCTTTTATATTTCTCGAGCACAGAGATGTCTAGGCACAAACTGGCGAAACATTATTAAAGCATTCCATCTGTCTTTGACACTTTCAATATTTAGGTCATGACCATCTGCATTGGCTGATCTTCCATGAAAAAGAATTAATTCATCTATGATTTCATTATTTCTGAGAAGACATTTATTAGAAAAAGCATGAGCCTTCAATTTTATAAGCTTATTTTTCTAATTAACACGCATCGAACTTAGAATCCATGCCCATTGATCTTTGTTGTTTGAGTACTCTGACTTCTTTGTGGAATCTGATTGTGTCAATCAATCAGGTTGTACTGTTGACTCATACCACAAATCTATAGGTCAAATTTTCTAAGGGGTTGCTTGGGGGCCTCCCCATGAACCCCCAAAAAAAAATTTCAATATTATCACCAATGTTTAAAATTGCATATTCGGGTATTGAGGCGTTTTTTATTCGTGAGGCGAGGCGTAAGCCTCAAGGCGTTTTAAGGCATAAGCCTCAAAATCAAAAGATTGCGTAAATATAAAATTATAAATTTTTTATATACTAATGAGTGAATAATAAAAAATATGAAAAAGCATAAGATATGAAGTGAAATCAAAATATCTCAATAATAAGACAACATGAAATATAGTTCAACTCAAAATTCTATCTTTCCCAAATCTCAGTATTCTTTTCATTAACATATAATTCCAATTTTCAAAAATAAATAACAATGACATGTCACATAAGAACTCATAATTCATCAGTACTATCATCACTAAGGGGTTCTTCATTTGAATCATCATTATGGTGAACTGCTCTCTCCCCTTCCTTCTCTCCTATAGAGTCCAATGTCGGACATTTACTTCAAGATTTTTAAGTTTTAATATATATAGCGTGAGGCGAGGCGGGCCTCAACCAAGTTGAGGCGCAAGCCTCATAAAAAAAACTCGAGGCGTTTTTTACTGGAATTGCGCAAAGGCGGGCCTCAAGGCGAGCCTCATATTGCGCAATTTTAAACCATGATTATCACACTACACTATGGCATTATATGGCATTGTATACTCTAGCGTTGCGACACTGTACACTCATGCTGATTGTCGAAGAGAGTGGAGTGTTGCAGTGCTCCAAACTCTGGTGCTGCAATGCTACCATCAGGCTGGAGACAGAGAGTGGAGCACTGCGGCACTCCAAATAATAACGCAATGGCACTGCGAGTAGGGTTGAACAGTTTTCTTTCTTGTTTTTCTTGTTTAACTTGCTGAGTTGCATTTTTGTGGTGGTTTATGAGAGTCTCTTTGTCAGTTTTGTGTACAACATGTGTATGAAGAGTGAAGAGAGACAAGGAGGGGGTGAAAGAGAAGGAAATCTGAATAATTTCTCCTAATTTCATAGTGAATTTCTTGGTGTGGTGTGGCTCTATGATTTTTTTCCAGTTTCGGATTTTTCCACGTTAAGTGCTGATGTTCTTTCTTTTCTACTGCATTTTCTCTTTCTTATAGATGTTCGCTGCATAATTTTATTCTGACTATGCATGTGTTCTATAATGGGATAATTGTCTTCCACGTCCATTTTCTTAACCTAACTATGCATGTGTTATCTTTTTTTCAGTAGCTTTTATTTTCAGTAACATTACCCCCTGAAAATTGCTTTTTAAGAATGTTTCTTGAACCATTATTTTTATTGAACAAAAATCTTGAAACATCTTGAAACTACAATTTATAACTTCCAATTCGAAGAACCAGTTCTTGTGTAAACTAGATAGTATTATAGACACATAAGCTTAAATCTATTGCCTCATATGCCATAAATAATTTTCTAGAACAGTGCTTCACCAATTGGTTCTTTGTGAGGGTGAATATCGCTATTATCCTGTTTACAAAAGCCTCGTAGACTATTCTTGAGCTTTCTAACTATAAAACAGGAGCAATTATTATGTGATCCCGGAAGAGCTTAGTCCTTTATAATAGTTTCATCTCAAATAATTTGATGTACTTTAAACATCTTAGTAAAGCTTTGGTCTGATAAAATTCTAATATGTTCTATGGTGATCTTGTTTCCATTCCTTTGTATTGGGTTGATCTAAGTTCTCTGGAATCTCAAAGACTATTCTGATGCTTTCAATTACTTACATGCATATAATTTACAATATGGTAGTCTAAACCATTAAATTTCTGTATGGAAAGTCTGTAATGTTTTCTTCGTACACTTTAGCTTGGAGTGTATTAATATATCCTTACCTTGACATCAGCAGCCATCATGTCAAGTTTGGAGGAGCCAATCGGTCTAGACAATTACTCAACATGCAATGGTGCTGGCTGGCTTCGAAGATTCACTTCCAATGCTTGCAGGCCCAGATCAGATCACACTGAAATGGATAACTGTTTGATTGAATCCAGAGAGTGCAGTTCTTTAAACAGCTGCAGGTATGTTTTGGTTATGAGATATATAAGGGGTTTGTTTCTTAAATTACTTGTATATTTTCAGCTGATGGGTTAAACAATCATGAAGATAGATCTCCACATTTTCCTTAACTTGCTCTCCTTAGTCTATCAGCAACTTATAATGTTGTCTTTTTTTTTTTTTTTCTTATATTCCTCTTTAATCCTTACAGTGAAGAATATGTTCGTCAAAGGAAATTAAATGAAAGGTTTTCCCGAAACTCCTTAATGTCAAAGACCTCAAGTCTTGGTAGGAGAAGGGCCCTAGAAGATGCTTGTGATGCACGGTGTTTGCAAGATCATTGCTGTAGCTTGCCCAGGAATGGCATCGAAATAAGAGATCTAGTAGATAAGGTACCCAAAAGCCTTCCATTTACCATGCTAATATGCAATACCCAAAAGATTTTCAATGCTTCAGTGCATCATACTAATATTCGACATTGATAACACAAACAGTGGAATCTTTTTTGTGCTATAAAAAGTAATGGCTAATGCCATCAAAATTATTATTTCAGGTTAGTAAGAGTTATTCTTTAATAATTGGACCAACTTTTGTATTACATCGAAGCAACCACACACTTTTATCCTATTAAAATATATAGCATTGGAATGCGGTTTTGTCATACTATTATTTATTTTTCCTCAATATATGGCTAATTACAACCTCTGATGAGCATTTTTAACCATCAGCTTTATGTGTCTCTCACTCTCTCCATAGGGTTTGATGGCATATGTTATCTGGTAAACTTATGAAACTAGTTTAGTCTTAACAGAATTTTCAACTTAATTCAGTGTAAAGATATGCTATATTAAACGTTGTTCTTAATCAACAATATTAATTATGTTCTTTTAATCAGAACAAGAGAAAGAATGAAAATTTTCCATGTATAAGGGGTATTGTACAACCAACAAAATCATAATTCTCATATGAATCCAACGCAGATTTTTAGAAGCATGCCAAGTTATGTAAAGATTGTTGAGGTTGGGCCTAGAGATGGTTTGCAGAATGAGAAGAGTGTCATACCCACAAAAGTGAAAATTGACCTGATACAGAGATTGGCAACAACCGGATTATCAGTTGTTGAGGCTACAAGTTTTGTCTCTCCGAAGTGGGTACCCCAGGTAAAAACATCTTTTAGGTATGCCAACTCTTTGTTTAGTTAGTTATAAATTACATATAATTCTTGTTATCATACCTGTATCTAATGTTTATTAAATGAGAGGATACTTAATTATGAAATTGCAATCTGCCATTTGGCATTCCAATTATTTTGTCAAAAGACAGGTAATACTTTATCAGATAAGCCTATTATTGGCATTTCTGATTTATGCTTCTAAGGAATTTACAAAAGATGCATTCATAACCTGTAAAACTAGCTTCCACATGACTCATCCTGCAAACTGTAAAGCATTAATGGTTTAGAGGGTCAAATGTCATGATCTAGGATGCCAAAGTTTTGTAATACTTTGGTAAGATGCAGCTAAAACTGAAGCTTGATGACTTCTTCTTTAATCCCTATACAGAGCTTTTCATATCATTTCTTCTCTCTAGATTACCGTCGCCAAGTTACCATAAAGGTTTGATTGTTCTCCCTGCAAGAACTCATTCTTTCGGTGAATGCTTTGGCATTTCTTATAGTTAATTTTTGCTAGAAGTAAGAATTTTCTAGATATGATTTCAAGAGAAACCAGCTATTAATTGCAGAGGATTGTGTATTGGTCGATTGTGGCAATTGTCAAATTAAAAACTTAGCATATGACTGCCACGTACCAGTAGCTTAAATATCCTGCAATAAATGCTATGTATAGAATCTTTTGATGGGTTTGCGGAATTTCTGAGGCAGATAATATCAGGGACAGACACAACAGAAGCTTGTGCTATTTGGCTTGTTCTGGCTGTAATGCTCTCTAATGACCCGGGAGATCTTGAGAAAAATATCTGAGAAAACTGATGTGGGACTTCATTTGAGAAAAAACATGGTGTGAAAAATCTGTTTGAAGTTTTGTTTTGCTAGTCTATACCCGTTGCGGAAAAACGGATCACTGTTGCCACTTGAAGCCTTAGTATCTGTTACACTGGAGTATCATTTTGTCAGATAATTCATCTATTACTGTGGAAAAAATGTAGAAAGGGCATATACATTATGTGGCATTTACCTTTAACATATCAAGACTGCACTGTTGCTGATGCAGGACTACGAATGAATGCAATGTTTGTAAGGAATTTGCACAACTCTTGGTTAGAATAGTAATGAAGAAGCCTTTAGCATTTAAAACAACGAATAAAGCAAGAGAGGGATCACACCCACTTAGACTAAATCGCAAGACAAGAGATTCAGAAAATCTTTCAAAATAGATTAGTAAATCACTCGATGCTAAATTAGTAGTTTCAACACAATCCCTAATCTAACAATGAAAATTAATAAGCAACAAGGTGCGCTCAAAACCCTACGTTTACTAAGTTTAGCATGAGCAAGAAGAGCCGTCCTTCGTGACTACAATCAAACGCAGGAGAGAGTTAGACTAAAGAAATATAATGAAAAGGGGGAGAAGAGAACCTCTCGTCAAGGAGTGGTGGAGATCCTCCACTCGACGCCTTCGAAGTGCTCGTCAATTGCTTCCACTAAGGTGTCCAAAATACGCTCTTAGTAGTCCTCGACGATATGATCCATCCTTGGATTCACGTCGAAGAAGGTCGATCGAAGAATATAGGTGAAGCCATCCTCGTCCCAAGTTAAGCCGTATTTAGTCTCCGGATCCGCCATTCATGGGTGATTGAAGATAAAATCTCCTTAGTACGTGAGAGTGTTCTTGAGTATTAACCAAGAGAAAGAAGTTTCTCTTGCAAGTGGGGAGGGAAGAAAGCAGGGTGAAAATCTGAAATAAATTTCAGGTTTTTGCAAGGTGGAAAGTTATGGAGGGAGAGAGCAATAAATCTAAAATAAGTTCAAATTTTGGTGAAGGGATTTGCTTTCGTCCCACCTTTAATTAATTACCTTTGATTGGGAATAATTAAAGAAGAGGAAGAAAAGAGGAGATCATTTGGAAAGAACTTAGTTGAAAAGGGGGCAAGATGGAATTTCGGCCAAGGTGGGATGAGAGGCTTTGAATTGTTTCTAATAGATGAGGTGGGGGAAATTCAGAAACAATTCCTAATTGAAACCCATAATGGGGCCGGCGGCTATAGACGGAGGGGAAGGATTTAATGATGCATTCAATGCCTACTTAAAATAATAAATTAAGTTTGGAAAGTAGTAATTACTCCTCTCTTAATTTAAATTTCAAATAGGAATCAAATTAGGAAGTTTCCTAAAATAGAACTTTGTAATTTAGGTAACCCTTCTAAATTCAAATTAATTTGAATTTGGCATGAAGGAAGTTACCACAATTATGAGACCTATTTTTTGAAAGATTGAGGGATGGTGGAGGTGGGGCGAGGTCACATGAGGCCGGCGGTGAGGGGAGGGCCGTGGGTGGTGAAGGAGAAATTGGGGCTCGGTGGTGGGTTAGGGTGGGGGTCTAGTGGCCGGCGGCTAAGGAGAAGAGTATGGGGGAAAACTAGGGGCCGGCGGCTAGACAAGAAGGGAAGAGGGTGACAAGACAATGATGAAGAACCACGAACCTGGCCGTCTCCAAGGCTGGTGGGTGATGCGCTTCCTTCTCCAAGGGATCTCTCTCCAAACACCTCTTGCTCTCACAAGAACTCAAACGAAGGGAAAATTTTCATAATTCATTCATTCATTACTTCAAACATAAGACATGAGGCTATAAATAGCCAAGTACAAAAGATTCAAGAAAATAAAAGACAAACTTGCCCTCCGGGCTTACATACGATGATTCCCACTAAAAGGGTACAACTGAAAAATAATAAAAACAAATGCACGACACTGAAAAAAATACAAAATACATGAATAAGAAAATAACATAAATAACTCTAAAGTATAAAGACTCGATCGTGGCCGTAGATCGGTGGCCACGCCTCTGATAAACCTTCCACGAGCTGATATCCCGATCAGTTGCACGGGTGGAATGCCCACATTAGATGACCAAGAGTTTGTATGGAGTGGTAGCAAGGGTGTGCCTCAACTCAACGATGCATTGCTTCCTATACCCATCAGATAGTAGCCCTGGAAGGAGCATGTCCACTGATTTAAACTTACGATTCAGGGGGTTAATCGGTTCACTCGATACGGGTGCTTTGTTCAGTGTAGCTTCACTACACATGTTGTGTACCATGATGCATGAAGCCACACCAACAAAGCCCAAATCAGGCAAATGATATATGATAAATGTAGCTTAAATCATAGATTAAAAGCTTAAAATGGTTCTTTGACTATTGATAAATGTCCAATTTAGTACCATAGTTTTGCATTGCCATATTTTAGTCCCTCAACTATTAAAAATTGATCCAATTAAGTCCTAGAGGCTAAAATAAGTGTTAAAGCTAACTCCAAAGTTAAATATGAGGATAGTTTATGTGAGATTATATGTTAGACCGGTCCAACCGGTCTGACTGGACTGGTTCACGTGTAAGAAGGCGGAATCATCCGCCTCTTGTATGCGATTTCGAACGTCGAATTCACGCCCGAATCAACTGCATCCTTTTAGGAAGGATTTTTGAGGGTTTTGAGAGGGAAATTTGAATGTAGGGACTGTTTAGGGATTTCTTTTTGATTTGTATGCATTAAATACTTTATTTTCCTAGGGTTAGGGCATCTTGAATTTGGCTGAAATTTGAGATCTCCTAGATTTAGGTTTTATTTGGGCTCTAGCGGCATCTAGAGATTTGGGGAGAGATCGATCCTCTCGAATTGAGGATCAAGTGAATCTTGCTATTTTTTGTTTTCCTTTCATCAAATAATACAAATTATTTACTGTTTTCATAGTTTTGTGTGGACTTTTGTGAAGATTTATCGCTGTTTTCCGAAGATTGATAGGAAATACTTGAGATTTACAAGTGTTTCCTATCAAATTGGTATCAAAGCAAGCCTTGAGACCGTTCATGGGTTGATTTTGGTGAATTTCAGCGGCCAATTTTTGGTCGGGAAGGGATGAAGTGCTGTTTTTGTAATCCAAATCTGAAATTCTTGGATTTACAAAATTTCGGATCGAGATGGCGGCCAAGAAAGTTGATGCGCTAGAAGAAAGGCTTGAAGGGGAGATGAACCAAATCAAGACAACGGTGGAGGAAAGAATTTCCTCCATGGAAGGACAAGTAGCCGATCTCCGGGACATGATGAAGAAAATATTGGAAATCCACAACCAAACGGCGGCCTTTGTGGCAAAAGAGGAGGAAAGAAAAAACACAAATTTCAGGGGAGGAAGATGAGGTGGAAATCTTGGAGGGAGAAAGAAGGAAACCATATCTGGAGCCTTTCCAGAGGGAGGATAGAGGAGGTAGGTATGGGAAAAAACATGGGTATGAAGGGACGGAGCAAAGGGGTGCGGATTGGGAACACCGGGAGGGACATTAAGGTCACCAAGGTGCTGATTTTGAAGGAAGAAGAGGGGAATTCGAAGGGGGTTTGGGCTATATGGCAGGGCAAGGGAAAACCGGGAGACGTGGGGTGGGCCGAGCACTTGGGAGAGGGGAAGTTGTGGAGGAATACGAGGGAATGGTGGAGATCAGAAGGTGAGGAAGTTGAAGATGCCTATCGTCGAGGAGGAGGATGCGTATGGGTGGATCTATAAGGTGGAGAGGTACTTTGTCGTTAATGGGCTAACGAAGGAGGAGAAGCTGACCGAAGCGAGCCTATGTTTGGAGGCGAAGGCACTGTCATGGTACTAGTGGAGAGACCAGAGGAAACCTATCAAGGAACTGAAGGGAATTCAAGGACTACATAATAGAATGTTTCCAAACTGACCAGGGAGGAGATTTCTATGAGCAGTTCTTTCCTCTAGCACAGGAGGGATCAGTAGCAGACTGCTGGGAGCAGTTTGAGCACCTAGCCAGTAGGGTGGAGCGATTATCATATACAGTATTGGAGGGGAACTTCATGAAGGGGTTGAAAGCAGAGATCCGAGCGGCAATGAAAGTTCTGATGCCTAGTGACTTGGGAGAGGCCATGAAGTTGGCATAGCTTGTGAAAAATCAGAAGAATATGGAGAAGGGGATCAGGAACAGCGGCTCAGGAGGCTTTTACAGCACGACGATCACTCTTCTAGCACCCAAGGGGCCTGCATCAGGCAACATTAATGAGACCACTAGGGAGAAGCCAGTAGGAGGAGGGAGTGGGCAAAATTTCAAGAGGCTGATAGAGAAGGAGATGCAGGAGAAGAGGGCAAAGCGGTTGTGTTTCAGGTGCGAGGAGAAGTATATGCCAGGACATCGGTGCAAGGACCGAACTCTTCAGGTTCTCACCATCTGTGATGACGAGGAAACTGATGAGGGTGGTGAGGGGGAGTTGGAGGAAAAGATGGAGGAGAAGTTGCATTTGGATCTGGTCGAGGTTTCCCTGAACTCAGTAGTAGGATTCACTACGAATCATACCATGAAGGTGAAGGAGGAGATAGAGGGTGGGATGGTGGTGGTGCTAATTGATAGTGGGGCTACCCACAATTTCATTTTCACTTAGGTCGTCGACCAATTGAGAGTGAAATTGGTGGACACCAGTTGTTATGGGATGATGATGGGTACAAGGAAGGTGGAGAAAGGCCAGGGGATCTGTAGAGGAGTAGTGTTGACCATCCAGGGGATTCAGGTAAGGGAGGACTTTCTTCCACGAGTTAGGAAGTACTGATATCATCCTGGGAATGAAGTGGTTGTAAACCTTGGGGGAAACCAAGGATAATTGGGGAGCACTCACGATGGAATTAATGTTGGATGGGAGAAAGGTGGTTATAAGGGGAGATGCAGGGCTATCCAAAGCCATGGTATCACTTAAGACCATAGTTAGGGACCTACAAGAGGTGGATGAAGATTATCTAGTGAGACTACACAGGCTGGAGATGATCAGACTGGAGGAGGGAGGGGATGTTTCTCTTTTAGTGCAGCCCTTGATTCAGCAATTCAACAAGGTTCTTTAATCACCTCAAGGATGGCCACCTCCACGGGAATACGAGCATATTTTCACCTTGGGGACAAGGTGGATCTTTGGGAGGGGAGTATTGTTAGACCGGTCCATTGGATCGGTTCAACCAGTCTGACTGGACCGGTTCACACGTAAGAAGGCGGAACCATTCACCTCCTGTACTCAATTTCGGATGTCGAATGCACGCCCGAATCAGCTGGAGCCTTTTAGGAAGGATTTTTAGGATTTTTTAGAGGGAAATTTGAATATATGGATTGTATGCATTAAATACTTTGTTTTCCTAGGGTTAAGGCATCTTGAATTTGGCTGAAAATTTAGATCTCCTAGATTTAGGTTTTCTTTGGGCTCTAGCGGCGTCTAGAGATTTTTGGAGAGATCCGATCCTCCTCTCGAATTGAGGATCAAGTGTATCTTGCTATTTTATGTTTTCCTTTCGTCAAATAATACAAATTATCTACTATTTTCATGGTTTTGTGTAGACTTTTGTGAAGATTTCTCATTTTTTTCCGAAGATTGATAGGAAATACTTGAGATCTACAAGTGTTTCCTATCAATATATTGCTCTATTTTATTATTTAATAAATTATATTACATATTTAATCTACTAACTAATAAAGGTAAATAATTAGTGAAAAAAAATTATTTTTTTAAGCAAAATCTAAGTTTTTTTATAAGTATATGATAAGCAAATCTATCTCCGTCTCTTTGTGAATGTTGCTCTTCATCCTTAGATATCAAAGTGCATCGTGATCGCTCAGCCTCTCGTGTCACGATCGCTCGGAGTAGCACAGTCTCTCGCATCACTTGTAGTCGCTCATAGTAGCAAACGTCTTGCGTCTCGCTCGCAACGAATCACTCGCAGTCGCTCTCAGCAGCACGACTTTTTGCTTCTCTATCGCAGAAAGTCAAAGCATGACGCCTTGCTCACAAATCGGTCTCCAGTTCCGTCTCCAGGAAATGTAGCGGGAAGATGAACGATTAAATAAGAAGTATTTTTAATAAAATACCCGCAAAGAAGTGAATGCTTGTGGCTTCTTCCGTTAATTTAAATGGAAATCTTATTGGAGGGACAAATTTGACAATTTTTAATAGTTAAGGGAATAAATTGGGGCAATACACTGGGACTAAATTGGACATTTATTAACATTCGGGGAGCTATTTTGAGCTTTTACTCATAATTCACATAACACCAAGTGCAAAGTTGTATATTTGACAAAAGCAAAGATGAAGAGTCCCCATGAGGATAAATGGGAGCCACTAAGACCTCAATGCTTATGCCCATCCTAATCAACTGAATAATTACGTGTGATTAAATAGAGCTAGTATCTAAAATGTGTTAGAGGAAATGGTGGTACTAGGTCCTTTGATGACTTGCAGTATAGAATTTAGACAATTTCATTGGAGATGTTACCAAGGTGAATATGATTTGAATGTTAACCATGGAAAACATAAAACCTGAAGATGGGAGAGAGCATCAAAAGTGACCTATTCAATATTTTCATATAACATTCAATTACATTCCAATTTAATAATTCCCATTTATTTGAATGGTGCATATAAAGATAATGTGAGCACTGTACACAAAGATAAAAGCTTTAGTTAATTCAGCCAGCAGTAGATTCGAATGAAGAAAGATATTATTATTCACACACTTGCGTCTATCTTTTCGACCTTGACAAGTATCACTTACCTAAAATTGCAGCTAGCAGATGCAAAGGATGTCATGGAAGAAGTTCGTAATATTGAGGGCGTTCACTTTCCAGTGCTGACTCCTAATCTCAAAGTAAGTTGTGCTTATTGATATTTGGTTTCTTGTTTTATGTATTATTCGTGGAGAAGAATTCATCACAGATGATGTTCCTTCAGGGTTTCAAGGCAGCTATTGCAGCGGGTGCAAAAGAAGTTGCAGTCTTTGCATCAGCGTCAGAAGCTTTTTCTTTGTCCAATATCAATTGTAGCATTAAGGATAGCCTTGCCCGTTATCAGGATGTTACTCTTGCTGCAAAAGCGCTTGGAGTGCCAGTTCGTGGGTATGTCAGCATTCTCTGATTCCTTCAACATACTTACAATAGCTGATGTTTCTAGTTTGTTATTTCTAGAAATTTCATCTTCTAGACACACCAAAAGAATTAAAAAAAAATCAACAACACTTCAATCAATCCGTTCATTAAATACTATTAACTTAGAAGTTCTCAACTGACTATTTATGGTGTTGGAAGTCTCCATGCAAAATATGTAGGCTTCTTAATTATATCTTGATGAAACCATCATCAACATCATTGGTCTTATCCCAACGATTTGAGATTAGATTTTTTTTTTTTTTTTCATTACTCATTTTGTTGTGTTGTTTGTGATGTCAGCAAGTTCTTTTGTACAATTGTTTGGGCATGTTATTTGTCTTACCTTTTTTCTTTCATATTCATTTTGCATGACTTCTATCTCCTTACAGTATTGGCTCATTTTTATGCACCCCGAGTTGTACATGTCCAAATCACCTTATCCTATTTTCTATAACCTCATCTTCAATTGATTTTACCAAAAATCTCTCTTAAATAATCAGTTTACACCATCCCTCGTTTTACTACATATCTTGAGTAACATTCACCCTGCTAATACTGTGCTGTTTATATCAAACTATGACAGGTATGTTTCCTGTGTTGTGGGTTGTCCTGTAGAAGGAGCAGTTTGTCCAACAAAGGTGGCATATGTAGCAAAAGAACTTTATGAAATGGGCTGCTTTGAGATCTCTCTAGGTGATACGATTGGGGTTGGTACTCCAGGTAAACTTTTTAAGGCAATATTGTTTCCTCTCTATGGATATTGTATGCTAAGTGAGCATGATTCAAATTACAGTCATAATGTGTTGCGTGAATATATTCATTGAGGAAAAAGAAAAGCTACAAAAGCATTTGCTGAATATAATATGTATTGATTCGAGAGTATCTTTGTACTTTGTAGAGTATAATGCAACATATAGTTATTCTCATCATCATTAACTTCATCATTAAATCATTATTCTTGTCCCGACTATTTAGTGTTGGCTTCAAGATATGATAATTGATGCATAATATAGTTATAGTACATCATTTTGTTTGAGTTCAGATATCATGCATCATAGTGATCAACTATTCTTCTGCATGTGTAATGGTCTACGATGCAGTATGTTACAAGAAAATATGTGCAAACAATTTGAAAAATGTGCAGACCTACATTTATGATACATTATAACGTGCATTGGATGTATAACTTCTTTTGTTACCATAAGCTTGGTTTTCCCAAAGGCCGCATACTGCTATAGTGCATTGGATGTATTTGAAAGTGTAGTTGAGGCTGCTATAGTGATTATTTTTTTCCACAAGTATTATATATATATATATATATATATATATATTTTTTTTTTCAAGATGTGTCTCACATATTGAGGTAAAGGCTTGATGTTGTTGTATATCTTTTCAACTGGACTTAGTGAAAATAAATAGAATTAACCATTATTTGTACATCTAATAATAAATGGAATATGCTTTAAAAAAAATTGTGCATAGGTAAAATAAATTGTTGTGTCTAAAAAATTGAAGATTAATACTAGTCAAAGACAAAATGATAAAGCACTTAATGTGTTACAATATGAATGTCAGAATTGTGTCTTGGCCTGGAGCCTGTTTTCTTTCTTTCAAGGTTAAATGAATCAAGGCAAGTTTTGATTGGAAGGAAAACCGTTGGAGAGGACACATTTGTTGTATATCATTGATGAAAGATAAGTGCATGCATATCGATAAGTAGAAAGAACAAAACAGGAAGATGATAAGGAGGAGGATACCCTTAATTATGAAATTATAATATACTAGTAAAATCACATAACATCTGACTTCTGACTATAGATGCAATGTTTGGTTCAAGACTATTTAGCATTCATATAAGAACAATGGTCAGATGTTTATCATTAGATATATTTTCCTATGTTTATCCATTTGAGAGGCGAAGAGTCAAAATGTTGGGTTTTTCCTGAGATCTTGTGAGGAAACAATAAGCATAATATGAGAATATAATTGCTACCACTCAGTTTGATTTAAGTATCTATAATGAATGAGATATTTGTTTGCAGGAGATAGTAAAGTAGCCATAGCCAGACTTCACCATGGGTAAAGAAAAGAGAAGGTAATGAACCAGTCAATCATGGATATTGGCTCAGAGATTGTGTGCAGACTGATTGCGGGTTTAAGGCGGTAGTGAGTGCTAGTGTGTGAGGCTTTTTGCAATGTGCAAAGCAGGGTCAAAGATTGAGGACTTCAAGAGCTTTCTCTATTTGCATGTGGGTCTAAGCTCGCAACAGTGAGTGCATAGGGGGTTATAACGGGAGCAAGGGCTATAGGAGCGCAGCTTGTGGCAAGTGTGCTGTGTGTGGGTTGAGGGAAATAAGAGCAAGAATTTGATGGAGCGGAGGTGGGAAGCAAGAGAAAGGAAGTAGTTTTGCATTGCTTGAATAGTTTTAATATTAGTAAACATATGGGTGTTTGGTATCATATTTTAGGCAAGATTTTGAGAAATCATCTTAAATTTTGCCAAACTGAATTTTGAGTACTTCAAATTTTATTATTTTAGTAAATCTCATTCAATTGTATTATTTATGGTAAATCTAAAATCTCAAAACAAGTGGTCAATCATAAATGTTGCTAAATCAGTTAAATCCTACATGTGCTTAAACAGCTAACCGCTGCCTTTAGATATTGAAAAAGTTTTAATAGATAAGCATGTGAATATTTTACTTGATTCATTTCGAGAGTTACTTTTGTTAACCTAGATTACTAAAGAGCATCCAGATAATTATATTGTATCGTAAGCATAACTTCATCTACTTTTCCTTATATATACTTAGCTTGTATCTACTAATGAGAGACAGCAATACAATTTGTTTCTGTTTATTCTTGTTCGTGTGCGATCGTGAGTCTCTAGCTATGCGTGGTTTCGTGTTATCATAGCACAGATAAGTGTTTTTTTTTTTTTCTTTTCTCCTCTCCTTTTTCATTCATTCACATCCTCCCTCTTTCTTCTTGTTCTCAGTTTTTTTTCTTTCTCTGTTTCCGTATGGACAACTCATCCACTTCTGCACCTGCCTTAGCCTCGCCAACTTCTCGTCATCCCATCAGTATCCCACCACAACTGAAGTTTGTTCTTAGTAGTATCAAAAATCTTATTTCTACTTCCCTAGCTTCCGATAACTATCCGTTATGGCAATTGCAAGTTGAGAAAATATTTGTTGCAAATGGTTTTAAAGGATTTCTTGATGGCTCATCCAAAATTCCAACACAAACTAATTCCACTGACTCCTCTCATGATGCCTGGAACCTTCTTGATCAAAATCTTGTTGCTGCCCTATTGTCTATCCTTACACCATATATTTTACCCTATGTTCTTTCTTTGACTATTGTGCGGACATATGGGCTACTTTAGCTCATCGACTGCAAGTGCCTACCAGATTTTGCATCATTCAATTAAAGAATGAACTTCACCGTCTCTCCAACGGTGAACAATCTATGTCACAATATATCCTTACTGTGAAATCCAAAGTAAATGCAATCTCTGCTGTCGGAAGCACCATCAATTGGAAGACGTCGTTCTATACACGTTAAATGGCTTACCCGTGACATACCAAGCCTTTAAAACTGTTATTCGCACGAATTTACAACCAATAAATCTTGATAATCTTTACACACTTCTGTATAGTGAAGAACCTTGCTCAAGAAACATTCAAAGAACTTCAATCGCTTCACATATCTGAAAATCCGGTTGCTTTTGCGGCTACCCATGGCTGTGGATGTAGTCGAAATTCCTCTACTCGTGGTCGCCAAAAAACCCATAATGCGCGCTCCTCTACTACATCTAGCCAAAATGAAAGAGTCAAATCGAAGTATTATATGCCAAATATGTACAAAGCAAGGTCATTCTGCTCTAAAATGTTTACATCTTCATGATCCCACATATCAAGAAAATCCATCCAAGCAAGTTTTATTCAGCCTGACAGAACCTTCTCGTCAAACAGATTGGTTTTTAGACAGTGGAGCTTCTACGCATCTAACGTCGAATCCCTCTCAATTCTCATCCACCAAACCTTACAATAGCAATTCCCAAGTCACTTTAGAAAATGGCCATCATCTACCAATACATCATACGGGTAAAGGATTTCTTCCTACACCCTAAGGTAGTCTTCAACTTAACAATCTTCATCACATTCCTAACTTATCATTTAACCTGTTATCGGTCCATCAACTAACTCATGACAACTCTTGCATTGTTTCCTTTTCCTCGCTGAGGTTATCAAATTCAGGATTCGAAGACAAAACGGGTTCTACTTCAGGGACCATGTCATAACGGACTCTACCCCATTTCTTAATCTACTTAGCCTTCCACACTAGCTTTAATGTTAGTTCAAACCTTTCTGAATCTTTGGCCGTCTCGATCATTCAGACGCACGCAAGTTGAAGTGTCTTGCTCGGTTACATTCAGATGTCTTACTAAAAAGTTTTGTAACACTTGTAATCTTGCAAAAATTCATAGGTTGTCTTTTCCAAATTCTATCTCTACATCTTCTGTTCCTTTTGAAATTGTTCACTCTTATGTTTGGGATCCATCCCCTACTATGTCATTACAAGGATTTCGTTACTATGTCTCATTCATAGATGATTACACAAAATACTGATGGGTTTATTTCCTCTCTCAGAAATCTGAAGTTTTTTCTAAATTTATGGTAAACTTTAATATGATTATATGAAGTTTACATTGGTTGCACATTCTGAATATTGAATCATTAAATGGAAGTTTCTTGCATGCAGTATTACAATTTGTAATCCCCTCGTTACGTATTTTGACTGTTGGTTCTTTTTATCATTGGATATCTTGTACTTACTAAAGAAAATGTGGCATAGTAGGCGAAGGGAATTCGAAGTCCACCTTTAATCAAACAAGTTTAACGTCGAAATACTAGTAAAAAAAAAACTAAATTGTGTGATCATAAAAAGACCCAAGAAATAGCATTGGATCTAAAAGTCATATGAGTACATAATTGCTAGAATTAAGGCTAGATGGTTAAAATAAAGAAATGTCTTAAGGGTTTAGTCTAATTAGTTAATATCATCAAGACTAAAGATAAATTTTATAAAAATTCAATTAGGCAGATAATCTTGCATATGTACGAGTGCTGAATAATAAAAAAATCATTGATATCAATTGAGCTTGAAAAAAATGAAAATATTAATATGAATGTTTGAAAAAATTATGAGCGATAAATTAAGAAATTAGCATATTACATAAATGATTTGAGTTAGCATCTATTAAATATAATGTAATGGAAGATAAATTTATGTTGTTTGGACATCGACAATAAAGAGATGATAATTTTCCCATCAAGTAAAATTAGAATTAGAGGATTAGAAAGTAAAAATGGTAGACCAAAGGTTATATGGATTTCAATTATTTAAAATAATTTACAAATAACAGATTTAGCTACTCTAACAACACTCACCAAGAACAAATGAAAAATAAAATTCATAGAACTAATCCAAATTCACGGAGTTATACCTTTATGAAATTGTGCTTGCAAACGTATAGTTTCTTCTTAGCTTGTCCAGTATTTGAACATCTTCCTTACCCCTTTCTTTATTTCTCAAACTTGCCTTAGTGTTCGTGTTACTGCTGCATTACAGGTTCCGTTATCCCAATGCTCAAAGCTGTCATGTCTGTTGTTCCTGTGGAGAAACTTGCTGTCCATTTCCATGATACCTACGGCCAGTCCCTTTCCAACATTCTGCTATCCTTGCAGGTAAACAAAAAAGCACCTTAAACCTCCAACTTGCACTGCCAGTTTTTTATACCCAATTTATACCTGCTGTCTTGCCAATCTGTCTCCTGGGCCAAACTGTTCAAGGAAGCACAACCAGGAAATGCTGTATCGAGCCTTTGCATATGTGGAACAGTTTCTCTTTGCTTTCCTTTCTTTATAGTTGCCACATTTCTATTTGGCTATAACATTTTTTGTTACTTTTTAAAAATTTCTATTATGAGAAATAGTTTTTTATAACAAGATTTGCTAAAATATAGTAGCACAGTTTCTTAGAATTTTTTATGATTAGAAGCAACATTTTACAACTAGATATATTGGTAGCTTTGTTTTTTTAGAAATTTTTATGATGAGAAACACTTTTTTTGCAATCAGGTTTTTTAAAAAATATGATAATTATATATAAAAAAAAAGTTATTATTCGACTTTCTCAAATGAAAATAATTTAAAATTTTCATAATAGCTTTAAAAAAAAAATTCTTATTATAATTCTACAAATATTTTTACAGTTAATTGTAACTACCCCAAATGGACCCTTGATGAACTCTACTATCGTACACGGCTCACCATAAGCTTGTTGGTTGGGGAGCTTAGGCTTCCAACTAAAAGATCTTGGGTTTGAGTCTTTGTGTATGCGTTGTGTGTGTGAGTTTGTCTTAAATGACCTATACGTCAAAAAAAAAAAAAAAAAACTCTAATACCGTAACATCCCCTCTCGTGCCACTTTCACAGATGGGCATTGCCGTTGTAGACACGTCGGTTGCAGGCTTGGGAGGATGCCCATATGCGAAGGGAGCTTCAGGAAATGTTGCCACAGAGGATGTTGTCTACATGCTTAACGGTCTTGGAATAGAAACTAATGTAGATCTCGGCAAGCTCATGGCTGCTGGAGACTTCATCTGCAATCATCTGGGCCGCGAATCTGGCTCCAAAACTGCTGTTGCTTTGAGCAAAATCTCTGCAAATGCCAACAAAATGTAATTCTCAATTTCTTATTGATCAAAACTCAGAAATTATCCCCATTTATATCTGCGGAAGTGATGAAATTCTTACCATCATAGTATAATATTAAGTGATGAAGCAATGTATCTGTAATATGCGTCTGTCTCTCATTAATAAGGATATGTGGGCATCATGAAATGCTCACTTGTTTCAGAATATGGATTCTTTTCTGTATGTTGCTGCTTCAATAATTGGATATGGGTGATCTTTGACTGTAGTTCAAGGCCATAATAAAGGAATTTCAACCATAATAAAGGAATTTCAACAAGTGTGGGCGATTTTCATGAATGTTTGAAGGAATGCTTCTTTTCATGTCAGGGAGTGTTCATCTACACTTATTGTTGCTTGAATGGAGGGCTAAAGATTTAAAGACTTGTGGGTCTGATCTTCATCATAAGCATGAGCCTTGTACCAATTAATTATTTGGGGTTGATCTTTTAAAAATCTCATTTTACATTGACCCCTATTGATTGCAATGGAACCACCTTGTGGTCAGGGGGGCAATTGCCAAACATATATGCCTTATAAATTCCCCTCCTCCCCCCCCCACAACTTTGAAAATTAAGACTAGTTCCACCCCTGATTGATTGCTAGTTCAATGTTGTCTTGAATCTATTTTTTATTCTAGGGTTTGAGGGGTTTGAATGAGTATTAGTAAAGTTGGAGAGGACTTCAATTTGAAGAAAATAAATTCGAAATCACTCAATTTGAATAAAAGAAAAAAGAGGCATCATCCTTGTTATGAAATGATTGAAAATGAAAGATGGAATTTAGGAGAAGAAACTTAAGGAGATCAAATACTTTAAAAACCCACATCAAACTTAATGAAATTTTAACTAATGTTTGGATGTAATGTTGAGAAATGCATCCAAATTTATGAATTTTTTTTGAAGTATGGTAAGAAAATCAATCCAAATAGCAAATGAAGAAAAATAAAATTTGAGGTTGAAAATAAGAAGAATTCAATGTCTAATGATCTAAACTTTCTTGGATATCAAATAATGGAAAATGAAGGCGGAGAAGATTATGAAAAAAAAAAATCCTAGAGAGTAGGAGATAAGATAAACTCCAGCACAAACTAGAAGGATCTTATTATTGACATGGAAAAAAAACATACGTAGTAACCAAGGGAAGCACTTATCAGGGTGGAGGCTACATCAATATAATAAGGTGAGTTTCTTTATTTATTATGATTAACTATGATAAAAAAAAATATCCTAACTTCTATTTTAGGAGCCAAGGGGATGCACTGTCTAAACTACCTTAATTTTAATTTAACCATGAAAAAAAAAATCTAAAACTATGTAATAATACAAAATTTTTGAATATCTCAATTAGAGATATGTGCATGATTATTCATTAATAATTTAATATAACTGAATACAACAAAAGACCAACATTATTATATAAATATGACAAGAAATATCTAGATGATTTGACCTTATGAAAATTTTTAACTTTTTTTTCTTAAATTTTTGTGTGATTATTAAAATTATCTATGAAACGTAGAAAATAGCACGAAAAAAATATTAAAAAGATCGACTGATTCAAAGCCGAAGATAATAAAAAAAAACCGAAGATAATTAATTGCTCATACAATCAAAATCCATTCGAGTTGAAGCCTACAAAATACTAAAGATATTTTTGGAAAGGAAGAACGTAAGCTATAAATTATTAAATCCAAAGATAACGTTGACCCTTATACGCAAAAGACACACAGGAGAGGTGAAACTGACGCTCAATGTTTCACTTGAAGGGTCAAACGACCTCTGATCGCAGAATGGACTGCATCATTGCGATCAGAGCTTCAAATTCGCCTAAGAGGGAACCTTTCGCAATCAACTCGAATAAGATAGGTCAAAACAGACTGCCGACACTCGAAATTGATGCGCGACGTTGTCAAACAGTGTCCATTCGCAAAAAAGGACTTCATCGTCGCAATCAGAGCGTCGTCAATACCAAAAAATGACTATCAATTTATTCAATCAAAGTCGCGTAAGGAATCGGCGCAAATCCTGAGGCAACAACACACCAATCAAGGGAATTAATGCGTTAAGTCACCTAAATGGTCTCCAATCACAAAATAGATTGCACCGTTGCAATCGGAATGCTAACCATAACTAAAATAACTATAATTTTACACAATAAAATTCTCGCGGGTAAATTGACACGAGTTTTTGGGGCAATTACACGCAAATTGAGGGAATTGCGGGCAAATTGAGGCTTTCAGGAGATCAACTCATGGTTGCCATTGCAAGATATAATAATAATAATAATAATAATAATAATAAATTGAAAAAAAAAGTCAATCAATCAAAACTACAATTGAATCACCGGATTTTTGCTGAAATTTCACTAGAATCCCACTGAGGCACTGCAAATTGACTGCTCTCTGAATTTCTTGCCTCGAGCAAATACTCAGCATTGACGTTAAAACAGGGCAGAACACGGCTGATACGGCGCATCTATGCTACAGTGATCATGAGGAGCATCTTATCTCATTATCACTTATTTCGTTTTGCCGTTTAGCACATGGCCACTATCTTAGTTACTTTAGTTAGTTAAACCGTACTGTTTTTACCTTTTTACTTTTAGTCCTGTTTGGGGAATTTCTGGAGAGGAAGGAGAGGGGTATATGAGTGAAGAGTAGAGAAGGGTATAGGAGTTTTTTATTTGTAAATACAGAATTTACTGTTCTATCTCTTATGTTTTGTAATCCTTTCATTGCAGGTTTTTGATCTACATCATATTGGTATCAGAGCTCAGCATGGGGTATGCAAACAACCGGGTGGCTGTCGGAGAAGATCACGGCCTTGAAGCTTTGTGGACAGAGCACCGTCATTTGGCGAGAAGAACGGAGGACATCGCCAATAATATAGATCGCTTATTTGGAGAAATGCGCCGAGAATTGAGGTTGATTAACGCTCGTCTCGATCGGAATGTTCATGCTCGAACGGTAACTCCGGTGGTTATGCCGGCAGTGAGACGGGAGCCCGTGACGGATAGAGAGCGGCAACAAGATATTCAGCGGCCAATAGAATCAGATTCGGATGTGGAACTGAGACAATTTAATTTGGGGGAATTGACTGATTCAGAAGAGCCGGATTTGATTCGAAGACCTCGCCGGAATGCCAGAGATCGCTATCCAGGTGAATTTCGAGTTAAATTAGATATACCTTTTTTTGAGGGAAAACTACACATAGAAGACTTCTTGGATTGGGAGAGGGCCGTTGAAACCTTCTTCGAATACATGGAGATTGAACCAGAGAAGCAGGTGAAGTATGTGGCTTGCAGATTGAAAGGCGGCGCTAGCACGTGGTGGCAACAAATTATTCAATCCAGGAGGCGAGAAGGGAAGGGTAATGTGCGAAGCTGGCACCGTATGAAATAATTGTTGAGAGGCCACTTCCTTCCAACAGATTTTGAACAAATGTTATATATGCAGTATCAACACTGTGCGCAAGGTTCTAGATTGGTAAATGATTATACGGAAGAATTTTATCGATTGAGTTCGGAAATAATCTCAATGAATCCGATAATCAATTGGTTGCAAGATACATTGGAGGACTGAAGGAGTCAATTCAGGATCGTCTTGAGCTAAACTCGATTTGGTCGTTATCGCAAGCCGTGAACTATGCTCTCAAGGTAGAGACACAGTTGCAGAGACAGATGCATCATAGGCCGCTCAGGAGAAATTTTGAATTTCAGCTGAGGCATGTAAAATGGGTTCTCAGAACATACCGGGTAGTAACAGACCAACGTCAAGCCACAGCGACCAACAATTCATTTTCTGGTAATGGCATGAAAATTGTGGAAACCAAGGAAAATCAAAAGGGAAAGGGTCCTGTACGGGAGAACCCGTATGCTAAACTTTCGGGTATTAAGTGTTTTCGATGTTTCCAAGTGGGCCACAAATCCAACGAATGTCCGACCCGGACACAAATTCAATTGATGGATGGTGAGGAAGAAGAAAATTTTGAAGACAGCAATGTGACCGTTGATACCGACGCAGAAGATACGGCAGGAGATGAAGGCGATCCTCTGGTTTGTGTATTATAAAAGCTGCTCATAGCTCCTCGGAAACCCAGCAAGACACAACGTAATGCTTTATTTAAAACTAAATGCACTATCAAGGGTAAAGTCTGTGATTTACTCATCGACAGCGGCTGTACTGAGAATGTTATTTCTCGAGCGGTTGTTCAAGCATTACAACTTAAAACCTCCCCTAATCCAAATCTGTATAAGATAAGCTGGGTACGAAAGGGAATCGAAATTACAGTCTCGGACATGTGCAAAGTTTCGATATTTATTGGCCGACACTATGTGAGTGAAATTCTGTGCGATGTTGTAGACATGGATGTATGCCATCTGATTCTTGGAAGACCTTGACAGTTCGATATGGGAGCCATTTATGACTGTCTGGCAAATACTTACGCCTTTGATTGGAAGGGTAAGAAGTTATGATTGTTACCACATTCACTAGAGCAAGAAAGCAGTTCTTCACATAGCAAAACGACCTTGTTTGTTGTTACTCGAAAGGCCTTGCTCAGCGCTTGGAGGGAGTCTGATTGCATCCTGGCATTAATCATTTCAGAACAGAACTCCTCTGCAGAACCTTGTGCAGTCCCAAAGTGTATCAGCCAGTTATTACATCGTTTTATGGACATTGCTCCTCCTGAATTACCGTCCGAGTTACCTCCGGTTAGAACAATTCAACATCAAATTGAATTAACTCCAGGATCGACGTTGCCCAATTTGCCACATTACCGCATGAGCCCGAACGAAAACAAGGTCTTACAACAAATTGTTGATGAATTGCTTGAGAAACAATTAATCCAACACAGCATCAACCCATGCGCAGTGCCGGCTCTACTAGTGCCCAAGAAGGATGGTAGTTAGAGGATGTGTATCGACAGTCACTCCATAAACAAGATTACAGTTAAATTTTGTTTTCCAATGCCACATATGGAAGACATGTTAGACAAATTGGTGGGGGCTCAAATATTCTCCAAACTAGATCTGAGGAGTGGTTATCACCAAATTTGGATAAAACCGGGCGACGAGTGGAAGACAGCATTTAAAACTCGCCAAGGTTTGTACGAATGGAGAGTCATGCCATTTGGCTTATGTAATGCTCCGGCAACTTTTATGAGACTAATGAATGAAGTTTTAAAGCCCTTTCTCAATAAATGTTGTGTGGTGTACTTCAACGACATTCTTGTTTTCAGCACAACCTTGGAAGACCATGTGAAACACTTGACGTCAATTTTTGAAGCTCTGCGGCACCACAAGTTATATTTGAATATCGTAAAATGTGAGTTTGCAACTCCTCAAGTAGCTTTCCTTGGATTCTTGATTTCGGCTGCAGGAATACAAGTTGATCCAAGGAAGATTAGTGCCATCCAAGATTGGCCAACACCTCACACTTTTTTTGATATTCGTAGTTTCCATGGATTGGCAAATTTTTATAGACGGTTCATCAAGGGATTCAGTTTGATCATGGCTCCGATCACTGACATCCTCAAACAACCACAATTTTCATGGGCAGCAGAACAACAACAAAGTTTTGAATTAATCAAAACCGCCTTGACCAACTAACATGTTCTGGTTTTGCCGGATTTTGATAAGCCATTCACCGTCAATACTGATGCTTCAATGGTGGGGGTCTGTGCTGTGTTATCCCAAGATAACAAACCGGTTGAATTCTTCAGCGAATAATTAAGCCCGTCCTGACAAAAATGGATGGTATACGATCAGGAGCTATATGATGTCATCCGAACACTGAAACAATGGGAACACTACTTATTACATCAAGATTTTGTTCTTTGTAGTGATCATAATGCTCTTCAATATATTAACACTCAAAAGAACATCAACCGGATGCATGCTCGCTGGATTATATTTTTACAAAAATTCACCTTTGTGTTAAGACACAAGAGTGGAATCCAAAATTGGGTAGCTGATGCTTTAAGCCGGAGGGTTGTTCTCCTAACCCAATTACAGACAGACTTCTCGGGATTAGAAGGTATCAAAGATTTATACGTTGATGATAATTTTTTTAAAAACATATGGTCCAAGTGCAGGAACCGTGAACCAGTGGCAGACTATTTCTTAAAGGATGGATTCTTGTTCAAGGCTGGCTTGCTGTGTATACCGAATTCGTCCTGGAGGCAACGTATAATCCACGAAACTCATGCAGGAGCATTGGCGGCTCATATGGGGCGTGATAACACCATTACTCCGTTACAGACACGATTCTTCTGGCCACACCTACGTCGTGATGTGAATAAATTTTTGCAAAGGTGCGCGGTCTGTCAAAGCTACAAGGGAGGGGGACAAAATACCGGATTGTATCAACCGTTACCAATCCCTGACTCTATCTGGGAAGATTTAAGCTTAGATTTCATGTTGAGTCTTCCACGAACAAAGCGCGATAACGATTCCATTATGGTCGTAGTGGATAGATTCTCCAAGATGGCTCATTTCATTGCGTGTAAGAAGACGTTTGACGCCCTCAATATTGCCAAGCTTTTTTTCAAAGAAGTGGTACGTCTTCACGGCATTCCCCGCAGTCTTACTTCAGACAGAGATGTAAAATTTATAAGCCATTTTTGGCGGGAGTTGTGGAAGCGCATGAGTACACAGATACAACTGAGTTTAGCATATCATCCACAAACAAATGGGCAAACGGAAGTGGTTAACCGGACTCTCGTCAATCTCCTCTGATGCCTTGTCCAAGAACATCCTAAATTGTGGGATGACATTCTCTGTCAAGAGGAATTCGCCTTTAATTCCATGACTAATCGGTCCACAGGTATGTGTCCGTTTAGTATTGTTTATACCAAATTGCCTAACACTGTCCTTGACGTTGCAGTTATTCCCAAAACTCAAAGTAAAGCCGCTTCTACATTCGCGGATCAATTTGTCAAATTGATTTCTGATGTTCGCCGCAAGCTACAGGAATCTTCTCAAAATTATAAAACAGCCGCAGATGTACACCGCCGGGAACACATCTTCCAGCCAGGAGATTTGGTGTATGTGCGTATACGCAAGGAGCGGCTGCCACCAGGTCCTCAGTCAAAGTTAAGCAGGAGAAAATGGGGACCATTCTCTATCAACAAAAAGATCAACGACAATGCCTATGTTGTCGATCTTTCGGCCGAATTTACTACCTCACATACATTCAATGTTACTGATCTATTTGCTTATGTGCCGCTAGATGATAACCCACTTACTATCGAATTGGTACAATCCGATTCTTCTCATGGCGGGGGCGAATGATGCGGTGCATCTATGCTACAGTGATCCTGAGGAGCATCTTATCTCATTATCACTTATTTCATTTTGCCGTTTAGCACATGGCCACTATCTTAGTTACTTTAGTTAGTTAAACCGTACTGTTTTTACCTTTTTTACTTTTAGCCCCGTTTGGGGAATTTCTGGAGAGGAAGGAGAGGGGTATATGAGTGAAGAGTAGAGAAGGGTATAGGTGTTTTTTATTTCTAAATACAGAATTTACTGTTCTATCTCTTGTGTTTGTAATCCTTTCATTGCAGGTTTTTGATTTACATCAACGGCTTTGCGAGTTTTCTTGCTTTCCATCTACACATTCACATGCAACTCACTAGCCCGTCTAATTGGAGTAATTATTCCATCAGGTTATCGAATGCATCCGGAAATCAATAACAAAACGTCACGTCACTAAAGTGCTCAGTACAGCGTGCTCGGTACACTCGGTATGCTCGGTATTGCTCGGTATTTTTACCGGATGTAATAATTTTTCGTCTAATTGCCCCTCTTTCGAGGGATCCTCCTTCATCAGTCATTTCACAAACCCGCTTGCATCATCCAATTTGAAATCTTCAAATAGATCCGTCTCCCTCATGTCCTACTAACCTTCACGAGAAGACCTTCGGCCAGCTCCACAAATCGAGCCTTATCCCCCAGATAAGATCTCTCAAACCACAAGCCATTCGTCCGATCTACTTCCTTTCGAGCCATTCGTTAGCCCCTCGACACCATTCGAACTTCACTTTCCTGTTCCTGTGTATTTTTTTTTGCCTGTTCCTGTTTGAATCGCACACCTACCGATCCTCATTGTATCTACCTTCATTATATAATTACAATAGACGAATAGAGCTGTTTGGAATCACATCACGCTCCCTTACCCCTTCCAATCAATAATAGTTGTCTCTTCACTCTGTCGAATGGCAGTAGATTTTTTTTTTTTT